GGTAGGCCTCTGTTTTTTTTTTTTTTTTTGCAGTTTTGGGGTTCTTAGAACGAGGTCCACCACCTCGTAGTCCATAATGCGCGCGTGTGCCCCCCGGGGTCGCGTTCAGTTTTTTCGTGCCACGTGGCGCGCAGCGCGTTTGAACGTGAATGACAGCGGCCCTCGGGGTATGAACGTGCGCGTTTGAACGTGAACGCGCATTCTGCGCGTTCACCCGGTTACATAGGAAGGCGGTGTGTAGTTGGTGTCAGAAGCTGGTTTCACGAGAACGGTGTGCGTCATGTCCTTGACACTCCCAGACCTCAAACCGAAGATGAGATCTATGAGTCCTGCGTCATACCCAACCGGGGTACGCCCCTCGAACAGATCAGTGTACGTCGGCGTCGATGCCTGTCTATACAGCAGGCTCCCCATCCAATCCTGCGTCGAACCGCTGCCAAAAGGAACCGTTGAGGATCGGGGGTCGTCGCCATTGTTGTCACTCGGAGGCAACGGAATCTCGTGGGACGGCAGGTGGCTGTACATCGTTGGATCGTACGGCCGCCTGCCGCCTTCCGCACTGCTGCAACGTTGACGTGACGACCCCCCAGCCCCTACGGACAGCGTGGTCTTCATCTGTAGCTTCTTCATCTTCCTGGCCCTCTTCGGCGTTCGCCGCGTCTGTTTCCTCCTAGGAACGCGACCGAGAAAGCATATATGAAAGACGACAACGGCAAGCATCAGCACAACGGCGAGCAGTAGCAAAGGCAGCGTGTGGTACAGGTCAACCATAAACGATAGGACAGCCGAGACAGAACACGCACTTGCGCTGTCGTAATCGCGGCGACCGGAGACACACGTTGCGAGAGGGAAGACGCCAATGTACGAAATTGCTGCAAGCACCGGCTGGCGGAGGATGCTTACAAAATCCGTATTTTCGACCGTTGGGAAGCCCACAGGAACACCAGGACCCCTCCAGGAGCCGACCGAAGATGTCTGATGCTCGCCACGATACCACCGTGGGATCGCCCGACGAACCGACAGGGCCGTCCCGCCAATCAGCGCCAACAGTAAAACGATGAGGCCGTTGGTGGACGTTTTGGATGAGGACGGCCCGCGATGTCCGTCTTCCGACCGGTGGACCACCAATGGACCACCTTCGACCTCCATTTTCCCTTCTGGACTCGCCGCCGACACCCCGATAATCCACAAACGGTTATTGGGTAGATGAAAATTTAGGAATGAAAATTATGAAGTGAGAGTTTCGGGCAGTCTGAAAATCCTCAATGGTCCTGAAGTGGTGAAAGGTCCGAAGACCCTGAAAACCACTTGTTTAGGCAGACTGCATCCTGAAGTGGTGATGAAAAATACGACTGTTGTTAACCTTCTCTCCGATAATCGCGGATCCTCGGGCTCCAAAGGACCTCGTGAGGTCCATTGGATCTGAGGACGATTTGGCTGGGAAATCCTCGGAGCCCGAGGATTTGTCATCGGAGTGTTTTCACATTTCTGTTTTGAAAATCGGCTCCGAGGACAGGTGGAACGACGACGGAATCCTCGGAATCGCGTCCCCGAGGAGTGTCGAACGACGCCCTAAGAGGTGGACCCCACAGGTTTGCGGCAAAGGCCTGGAAATGGAAAGCGGTTTCTAGAAAATGGTCGTCGAGCAATACGGCCATTTTCCAAAAGAGACCCCACCGCGCCTTAACAAAAAGGAGGGACCGAAGGGATCGGTTTTGGCTCATGAGTATCCTGTGTCTCCAAATCTGGTTTGTACTCGAACATTGTTGGGTGGCAAGCTGTGAGCGACGTGGAGCGACGACAATGTCGCTTGGTACCGGGTCCATGGGTGTCTTCCAGTGCCCACGCTGGACGTTTGGAATTTCGCATTCCGGTGTTGGGACCGCCACTATTTTGGGACCGCAAGTCCACATGCGCACCCGTCGCGCTCTGTCATCGATTCGTCTGTGTCATCTCCTCTGTTGCCTCTACATCTCTCTCCATCGCCTGTCATCTATCCATCTCCATCTGCTCTGTCCGCGTCCCCGTGACTTTCAGAAGCCCCCTTGTGCAGCAACGGAAGTCGTGCACGAATATCGATCCCGCACAAGCATGCGTTCGTGACGGTGGGTGGGAAGATCAGATGGTAGTCATGACGTTTTTTTTTTTTTTTTTTTTTTTTTTAATGATGATGCTGATGGTGATAAAAAATTGTATTAATTGTAGTAAGCTATGCTATATTAACAATTCTGGTCTCCTACTCCTAGAGCAATTTCTAGCCCTCCCTATACCAGTACATTGTAAATTTCTGCAAGAAAGTAACGCCACCGCCATCATGACGGTGTTGCAGGCAGTAGCGACATTACCTATGCACATACCGGGTGTTGGTGACAACCTCACCCTTATCGCTGGAGGTTTGCTGCGCAGCCATATCACGCAATGCACGACATTGAAGACGATTCATCAGCTGGCGGAAAGGAGACGTAGATTGTCGGTGCTGGAACATAGT